TTGAACGGGCCATCGTAGGGGGGTTGGAGAGGTTTGCGTACCGCGTCACGGCAGACAAACACATGGGTGCACGTATGCAAATCTGAGAGAACATGAATGTTAGTCCGTTTGGGGGAACGGCCGGGGGTGGTTGAAGACTTTGCATTGAGCGTTGTAGACGATGAACGTAGGCCGTTGGGTCGAGGTCCACGGCATCTGTGGTAGTATCGAAAAATTCTCCGGGCAAGCGAAGAGTGGTTCCATAGACACGCTCCTTGTCTGCCTTGTCCGCGGTTCGAATCCCCAGCAGGACGAGTGGTAATGTCTCCGTCCAATTGGTTGTGTCAACTTGTGTCTTGATTGATGATTTGAGTTGCCTGTGAAAACGTTCCACTAGGCTATTGGCAATGGGGTGGTAAGCAGTGGTACGTATACACTGAGTGCCAAAGTAGGTTGGTCAGGGCACGGAAGAGTACAGAGTCGAACTGTGCACCACGGTCAGTGGTGAGAGTTGATGGAACGCTGAATGAGGCAACCCAGTGTGTGGCAAAAGCACGAGCGACTGTTTCAGCGGTGATGTTAGGCAATGGGATGGCCTCCGGCCAACGTGTGAAACTATCAATGCATGTGAGCATGTATGTATTTCCATTGGATGGTGGTAATGGTCCTACCAGATCGATGTGGACATGTGAAAAGCGACAGTCCGGGGCAGGAAATTGAGAGAGGGGGGCAAAGGTATGACGACTAACCTTTGCATGTTGGCATTGAATACATGATCGGGCCCACTGTCTGACATCTCGGTTGATAGATGGCCAAACATATCGATCTGTGAGTAGGCGTTGCGTGGCGCGAATGCCTGGGTGTGACAGGGAGTGCAGTGCATCAAATACTGTGCGACGCAACTCTACTGGCACGAACGGACGTGGATTTCCAGTCAAAATGTCACAAATTAATGTTGTGTCGCAGGAATGGAACGGAACTGCGTGGAATTTGAGGGAGGATGACGACGGTGTTTGAAGTTGTGTCAGTTCCACACTGTTTGTCTGCAACTCCGCCATTTTGTGGAAATCGATGAGAGAAGATTGTTCCAAGCGAAGAGTGTTAAGTTCAACACGCGATAGTGCATCGGCTGCGAGGTTATCTCCACCTTTCACATGTCTGATATCACAGGTAAATTGTGATATGAAGTCGAGGTGGCGTCTTTCGCGAGGGGAGTGTCGGTCAGATGAGGTGCTGAGAGCATATGTGAGCGGCTTGTGGTCTGTAAGCACGTGAAAATGTCGACCCTTAAGTGAGTGCCGAAAATGTTTGATGGCGAGGTAAATGGCTAACAGTTCGCGACCGAATGTGCTATAATGTGTCTCGGTGGGTTGAAGTCTCTTGGAGAAAAATACGAGTGGTTGCCATGCGTTGTCCACTCGTTGCATCTGACATGATCGCCAGCGCCGACGCTGAACAACATGCTCAACATCTTCGTCTTCTGTTTAGCCGCCTCAACGAGTATGGAGTGGTCATCAATCCGGCCAAATGTTGCCTTGGTATGGAATTGCTTGAGTTCCTTGGACATCGAGTGGATGCTCGAGGGGTGCAACCACTTGAAACAAAGGTCAGTGCCATCCGCGAGTTTCCGCAGCCAACTACTCTGACCAAACTGCGCGAATTTCTCGGACTAGTTAACTTCTACCGCCGCTTCATTCCTCATTGTTCGCAAGTCCTCCAGCCACTCACTGATCTGCTCAC